GTTTTTTCTACTAATGAAAGAGGAGCAGGGATAAGCCTACTCCAGAGCTGTTACCAGTTGGCCCCCTCATTCCATGTTTTTAATATTACTAACCCTGGACAAAAGCTTACTCTAGGAGACTGTCATGGGGAAAAGTTTGTTAAGGAGTTTAACAACAAGCTAATTTAACAACAAGCTAATTTAATCGTAACGTGCTAAATCCTAAATATTTGAGGTCTCCATGAACAGGCAGAGCTATCAAAAATAGTACTAAAAACACTGAAATTTATACCCTTGCTGTCACTTACAGAGGCATAAATCAATACGTATTTGGCCTTCAAGACACAGCAGTAATTAGTGATTTTTTTTACAATCTGAAAACACCTAGTTTAAACAGAAATCAACAATGATTAGGTATCTTACAAACTGGTTCTATGAGCCAGCCTGCTGTAGTACTTAAGAGTATCGAATTAGGATCTGGGAGATCCAGGGTTGAATCCCTACTCTGCCAGTTTGGTGTAGTGGTTTAAGTGTGTGGACTCTAAGAGAACTGGGCTTGATCCCCCACTCCTCCCCTTGCAGCTGCTGAATGACCTTGGGCAAGCCACAGTTCTGTCAGAGTTGTTCTCTCAAGGACAGTTCTGGAAAGAACTCTCAGCCCCACCTACCTCACAGGGTGTCTGTTGTGAGGAGGGGGAGGGAAAGGAATTTGTAAGCCACTCTGCGAGTGAAGAGTGGGGTATAGGAGTTAGGGCCCAAGTCTCCTGAAGAGTGGGGTATAAATCCTTTTCTTCTGCCATGGAAGCTTGCTGAGTGACTTGGGGCCAGTCACAAACTGTCAGGCTAACCTACCTCGTAGGGTTGTTGTGAGGATAAAAATGAAGAAAAGGAGAACAGTGTGGGTTGCTTTGGGTCCCCACTGGGGAGAAAGCACAGTATAAATTAAATAAACTTCGGGGCAGGAGCACATCTTGAGGTGGCCAATACTTGAGAACCAGAGCTACTGTTCCTTTAATGGGGGGGGGGGTTTACAAATGCAAGTGGGACAGAACAAGATACCCTAAAACCTCACCTTCTGGCTCTATTCATCCTGCTCCAGCTTGAAGTTTCCATGTATATCTTCTCACACACTTGAAATAAGAATTATGCCTATACATAGGCACTGCATATCCAACCATTCAAAAGGCCCATTCTAATGTTGGGGTTCTGTGTGCGCGCACACATAGGCAGAAACTATGGGGAGGCCTCAGGGCTGCCCCCCTGAAATTTTCCAGGAAGGACTGAGCCTCCCCCTGGGCAACCAGTGCCAGGCAATACTGAGTTCAACTTTCCTGCACTCCAGCTCCAAGAGCAGCTTGCTCTGTGCTGCTTCCTCCTCGCTTCTAACATCACAGCTTTCCCCCCAGCCTCTCCTGTTTCCTGCTTGGGACAGGAGAGAAAGAAAGTCTTCCTTTGATTGGTTGAGGGCTACTCCCCGTCCTCCTCTGGGGAGGGAGGGGGAGGAGGGGGAGGGAAAAAGCCAGAGAGAGACAAAAAAAAATGGAGTCCAGTAGCTATTTTAAGAAGACTAGCAACATTTTCTTCCAGGTATAAGCTTTTGTTTGCTTGCAGACTTG